AAAATTAAACATGAATACACACATATGTATGTATGTATATAGATAGATAGATATACATACATACATACATACACATATACATATATATGTGTAAAACCATACTATTCATCTATTTATCAGTTCCTTCTCTAGAGGTGGATAGCATCTTCTTCATAGATCCTTTGTAGTTGGCTTGAGTATTTATTATACTCAACATGAATTACTTATTCAAAGGTGTTATTTGAACAGTATTTCTGTTACTATGTATGTACAATGTTCTCTTGGTACTGCTCATTTCACTTTTCATTATTTCATTTAAGGCTTTTCATGTTTTCTTTTTCTTTCTTTTTTTGTGACTCAGTAGGGGTTAAGTGACTTGCCTAGGTTCACACATCTAGTAAACATCAAGTGTCTGAGGCCAGATTTAAATTCAAGTCCTCCTGAATCCTGGGTGAGTGCTTTATCCACTGTGCTACCTAGCTGTCCCTCCATGATTTTTTTAAAAAGCAACCAGTTCATTATTTGTTGGAGCACAGCAGTATTCCATCACAATTATATACCACAACTTGTTTAGCCATTCCCCAATTGAAAGGCATCTATCATTTTAACTGCTCTGATAGGTGAAAGATAATATCTAAGAGTTGTTTGAATTTGCATTTCACTAATCAATAATGATTTAGGGCATTCTTTATTCAACTATAGTTTTGATTTCTTTATGGGAAAACTACCTGTTCATAACCTTTGACCATTTATCAATTGCTGAATTACTTGTATAATTATAAATTTGACAAAATTCTTTATATGTCTAAGAAATGAGACCTTTATTTGAAAGAATTTCTATGATTTTTTTCAAGTTTTCTGCTTTTCTTCTAATCTTGAATACATTGGTTATATTTCTATAAAACCTGTTTAATTTAATATAATAAAAAGTATTTTTTACACCTCACAATCCTCTCTATCTCTCATATGTTCACAAATTGTTCTCCTATCCATAAGTCTTATAGGAAATATGTTTCATGTCCTTCTAATTTTCTTGTGATATCTCCCATTATATTTAGGTCATGTATACATGTTGACCTTATCTTGGTAAATGGTTTAAGATATTGATCTATGCCCACTTTCTGCCAGACTGTTTTCCAGCTTTCCAACAATTTTCACCAAATAATGAATTCTTATCCCCAAAACTTAAGTCTTTATATTTGTCAAACATGAGGTTATTATAATTCTTTACTATTGTGTATTATATGTCTACTCTGTTCCACTGATCCACCTTACTATTTCTTAATCAGCATTAGCTAGTTTTGATATTTACTACTATATAATATACTTTAAGATTAGTACTGCTGAACTACCTTTCTTTGCATTTTTTACCAGTGTCTTTGAAATTGTTGACTTTTTATTCTTCAAAATGATTTTTATTACTTTTTCTAACTCTGTAAAACAACATCTAGCTATTTGTTTCAAATGGCATTGAATAAATAGGTAGGTTGGGTAAATCATCATCTTCAATATATTGGCCTTGCCTACTCATGAAAAGTGATATTTTTCCAATTACTTAAATCTCCTTTATTTGATTAAAAAGTAAATTTTATAATTATATTCATGTAGTTCCTGGGTCTGTATTGACAGGGATACTCTCTGGTGTGTTATACTGTCTACAGTTATCTTAAATGGGGTTTCCCTTACAATCTCTTCTCCTTTTTTATATTCAATAATATTTTATTTTTTTCCAATTACAAGTAAAGATAGTTTCATCTTTCATTTTTGTAACATTTTAAGTTCCAAATTTCTCTCTCTCCTCCCCCTTCCCTCCTTCCTCCAAAAGACAGCAAGCAATCTGATATGGGTTATACATGTACAATCATGTTAAACGTATTTCCACATTAGTCATGTTGCAAAAGAAGAATCAGAACAAAAGGGAAAAACCACAAGAAAGAAAAAAAGTGAAAATAGTATGTTTCAATCTGCATTCAGACTTCATAATTCTTTCACTGGGCATTTTTCTTCATTCTCTTTTCCTCCCCACAATTTCTAATTCTTTGCCACCACAAAAAGAGCTGCTATAAATATTTTTGTACATATGGGTCCTTTTTCTTGGTTATGACTTCTTTGGAATACACATCTAGTAGTGATACAGCTGGATCAATGGGTATGTACAGTTTAATAGCCCTTTGGGGATAATTCCAAATTGCTCTCCAGAATTATTGGATCAGTTCACAACTCAACCAATAATGTGTTAGGGTTCCAATTTTCCTACATCTTCTCCAACACTTACCAATTTCCTTTTCTGTTATATAAGCCAGTCTGACAGGTGTGAGGAGGTACCTCAGAGTTGTTTTAATTTGCATTTCTCTACTCAATAGTGATTTAGAGCATTTTTTCTTATGAATATAGATAGTTTTAATTTCTTCATCTGAAAATTGCCTGTTAATATCCTTTGATCATTTATCAATTGAGGAATGACTTGTATTCTTATACATTTGATTCAGTTCTCTAAATATTTTACAAATGAGGCCTTTATGAGAAATACTGACTGTAAAAAGTGTTTCCCAGCTTTCTACTTTCCTTCTAATCTTCGATGCATTGGTTTTGTTTGTGCAAAAACCTTTTAATTTAATGTAATCAAAATTATCCATTTTGAATTTCATAATGATCTCCTCTTGTTTGATCATAATTTCTTCCCTCCTCCATAGATCTGACAGGTAAAGTATTCCCTGCTGTCCTAATTTGTTTGTGGTATTATCCTTTATATCTAAATTGTGTACCCAATTTGACCTTATCTTGGTATAGGGTATGAGATGTTGACCTACGCTGAGTTTCTGCCATGCTATTTTATAATTTTCCCAGCAGTTTTTGTAAAATAGTGAATTCTCATGCCAGAAGCTGGAGTCTTTGCATTTATCATGTGAAAGAAGAATCAGAACAAAAGGGAAAACCACAACAAAGAAAAATCAAAGAACAAAAAAAGTGAAAATAACATGCTTCCATCTGCATTCAGACTTCATAATTCTTTCACTGGGTGCTTTTCTTTGTACGTCTTCACTCCATCACATACTTCACACTACAGTGTATAGTATACCTAAACTATTCTATTGATCCACCACTCTATTTCTTAGCCAGTATCAAATAGTTTTGATGATTGCCGTCCTATAATATAGTTTTAGATCTGGTATAGATAGATCACCTACCTTCCTTTGCATTTTTTTTCATTAATTTCTTTGATATACTTGACTTTTTGTTCTTCCAGATGAATTTTGTTACTGTTTTTCTAGCTCCATGGGATAATCTTTTGATAGTTTGATTGGTGTGGCCCTGAATGAATTAATTTAAGTAAAATCTATCTCTTCTCAGAGAGTTTTGTTGGTGATATCTAAAAATGCTGATGATTTATGTGGGTTTGTTTTATATCTCACTACTTTGCTGAGATTGTTAAGTGGTTCATCTAACTTTTCAGTTATTTCTTTAGGATTTTCCAAATATATCATCATATTGTCTGCAAAAAGAGGTAGTTTCTTACCTAATTTCCCACTCTGATTTCTTCAATTTATTTTTCTTCTCTTTTGCTATTACTAGTATTTCTAGAACAATATTGAATAATGGCTCTGGCACATAGTGTAGTTTCTGTTTTTCTTTTTTAATTAAATCTATTTTAGCTTTAACTTTGTCTGAAATGACAACTGCTACCTCTGTTTTGTATTTTTTTACATCAGCTGAAGCATAATAAATTCTTCTCTACCTCTTTGTTTTTGTTCTCTGTGTACTTCTCAATTTTTAATTATACTTCTTGTAAGCAACATATTGTTGAATTCAGATTTTTAAAACATTCTGCTATACATTTCCATTTAAGAGTAAATTCATTTCATTCACATTCATAGTTATTACTAATTGAGTATTTCCATTCATCCTATATTTCTTCACTATCCTTTTAGTCCTATTTACTCCATCCCTCCTCACAGGTCTAATTTACTTTTAACCATTAACTTGCTGTCTTGTTTTTTAATCTACTCAACCAGCTAAGAATCTCTCCCTTATTCTCTCCCCCACCCTTATAATTCTTAATCCACATACTCTTCTAAAAGTCCCACCTTTATCCTATTCTTTGAGCCTCTTATTTCTTTCTAGATTTAGAAGACTTCTATACACTTCTAGATCTATATGTTGTTCCCTCTTTAACCTATTTGTGATGAGAGTAAGCTTCTAGTACTACTTGCTCATTCTATATCAATTTTTCCTTTCACACCTCATTTGTATGAGATAATTGCTCCTTTTTACCTCTTCCTACTCAATTTTGTTTTTTTTTATAATCACCCTATCATACTCAGCTCAGCCTGCATCCTTCTCTCAAAATATCCAAGTAATTATGACAGTCTTAAGACTAGGGATAACATTTTCACATCTAAGAAGTAAACAGTTTGACTTTCTACTAGACCTTTCGGCAAAACATTGAGAATGATGATAGAGTGATGATTATCAACCCAGCCAAAGTCATTTAAAAATACCTTATTGAGGTTCACATGAAAAAAATTACAGATTCATAAAGGCTGATGTGTTCAAGACATCATATCTTTCTGTAGTAAGGGAAGTTTGTTCAAGCTCCTGTGAAAAGATGAAGAAATATTAAGTCTTCAAAAGTATCTTCAGGGACAACTAGGTGGTACAGTGGATAGAGCACTGGCCCTGGAGTTAGGAAAACCTAAGTTCAAATCTGGCCCCGGACACATAACACTCATTAGCTGTGTGACTCTGGGCAAATCACTTAACCCCAATTGGATTACAAAAAAAGTATCTTCACCTGAAAGTTTTAGTGTGAAAATATCCAGTTTCTCCAAATTTCTAAAAATTATGCATCACAGAGTCAGATAGAAGAAGCCAGTGTGGGGAGATGTTTTCCAAATTCAGAATGGAAAGAGAAAAGTCACCATCTATGGTACATGAATAGTGAAGACTGTGTCAGCCTAGGACAGGATATACTTTGAAGATCATATTGTAGAAGAAAAATAGTTGAATGTTTTTCTCCTTAATTAAAAGGAGATACCTAATGAAGACTTTGTCTGCTTTGTGATTTTCCTAAAAGCACTACTGACTTCCTTATTCCTCAGACTATAGACTAGAGGATTCAGCATAGGAAGGACCATGGTATAGAACACTGAAGCCACTTTGTCAGTGTCCATGGAATGCCTGCAGCTAGGTTGTAAGTACATGAAGATTATTGTCCCATAAAATATGGACACAGCTGTGAGATGGGAAGCACAGGTAGAGAAGGCTTTCTGGAGGCCCTCAGCTGATTGCATCCTCAAAATGGCAATGAAAATTAAAAAATAGGATTTCAAGATGAAAAAAAAGGCAAAGAACACATTGAATCCTACAGCAAAGAAAATAACCACTTCATTGACGTATGAGACAGAGTAGGAGAGAACCAAGAGAGGTGGAACATCACAGAAAAAGTGATGGATCATGTTGGAGAGGCTGAAGATGCTTCCTGTGTGAATGGAGGCAAAAAGAAAACCACACATATGGGAACTAGTGACCAGACAAGCACAAACCCTAGATGTCATTGTTGTGTTGTAATGGAGGGGCTTACACACAGCAGCCTGGTGATCATAGGCCATAGCAGCCAGGAGATAATTTTCAATTGTGGCAAAGTATGCAAAGAAAAACATTTGTGCAGCACATCCATTATAGGAGATGGTTTTGTCCCCTGGGAGGAATCCAGCCATAACTTTAGGAGTAATGGATGAAGAGTAGCCCAAATCTATCAGAGAGAAGTTACTGAGGAAAAAGCACATGGATGTGTGGAGGTGGGAGTCCCACAGTATCAGAACTACCAATCCCAGGTTGCCCACCAGGGTGATGAGGTAGATGATGGTGAATATTATAAAGAGAGTAACCTGAAGCTCTGGGGCATCTGTTAATCCCACAAGGATGAATTCCTCCACCTCTGAACAATTCTCCATAAATGTCTTATAGGGATTTGGATGATTCACTTTTGATAACTGAAACAAAATTAGCAAAATAAATCATGACATTTATCACTTTTTTGAGGGTTATAGAATCATATTTTTATAATAAATTCCAAAATGTTAAAAATTATGATTATTAATGTTGGATAAATTAACATCATACAATTAACAACATACAATCAACATCATTGGAATTATGATTTTTCAACACATTGTAATAAGTCCCCTCACTAAGGGGGATCACTTATTAAGACCATTACTGAACAGGTCCTCAACCTCCATAACTCCCAGGACCTCCATCTTTTCTGTGCATTAATCTCATATATTGTGTCCATACTATTGAATTGATCATCCCTCCAATTCCATGACCCATAACTGAAATTCCTCTTGAATACATCCCGCTATCTTTGCACTCCACATTCTGCCTTACTTTTCCTCTCTCTAGATTTACTCCTCAATATAAACACCAGTTTCTACACCTCTACCATTTTTCCAATTTTATTTCCCCTATTTTGTCCTCACTCTTTCCCTTTCACAGGATTGAACTGATGATTGTTTCAGTGAGAGTCCCTCAGCTACCCTAGAATTCCTTGGTCCATTGCCTTTCATGAAATATTCCAACTTAAAATTATGCTCACTGTCTACCTTTAACGGTCCTACAAACATAGAGCAGAACATGGTCCATAAATATGCTGAGTGGGTTTTCAATAGAAAGGTGTTATTCCCTTGTCACTTGTACCCTCCTGGTCCAAAGTATCTCAGTTAATCTTCCCCCATTAACTCTCTATCCCACTTTCCTGTATCACTTCCTTCCTCTTGAATCAGAAAAGAGAGATGTCATCACTCTTGGTTTCTCTCATTTCCTTACTCAACCCTCCAAACCGCTCTTCATTATGCCCTGTTCTCTGCTGCTTTCTCCCTAACTTAGAGGAAGAGGTAGATTTTCTCACTGCCAAAGTTAACTTCTCTATGTGTGGTCTTCTCATCTCCTCATATCTCCTCCAAAAATACTAATAGATAGGATTTAGATAGCACTATTAGTTTAGGAAAGTGCTTTATTAATATTACCTCATTTGATCTTCCCAACAAACTAGGAATGTAGGTGATATGCCCACTTTACAGAGGAAGAAAGAGAAGTAGACGGAGATAAAAGACTTGACATGGGTCACATAGTAAGTACCTGGGGCCCAATTTGAACTCAAGTCTCTCTGACTCCAGGTCCACACTGTATCCACCTGGAATTCTCCATCATTGTTTTAGTTTATTTTCTTCCTCTTTTTCAATTTTTCATTCCCTATTTTCTAAAATAATTCCCAGATTCTGTCATATTTTTAAAAAAAGTTGTCATTACAAAATTACATGTTCCAAACAATTACAATTTGATATTCTTTGTGGTTTTTTTTTTGACTAGGCAATTGGGGTTAAGTGACTTGTCCATGGTTACACAGATAGTGATTGTTGTGTGTCTGAGGCCAGATTTGAACTCAGGTCCTCCTGATTCCAGTCCCAGTGCTCTATCCACTAGGCCACCTAGCTGCCCCACAATTTGATATTCTTAAAGCACAGATGTACTCTCTGTCTCTCTGATGCCCACTGGTATTGAGTGGATCACTGCCATTTCTTGTATAAAATATGTATCCCTGTTTCACATTTAAAACCCTTCACAAATTCTCTATTCTATCTCCCTAGATTGATTTCACATCATTCCCCATCTCATGTGTCCCACAGGACAGGCAAATGTTTCCACATTCATTTCTCCAGCCTTCATCTCCCATCAATGTGCCTTTGTACAAATTGCTCTTCATGCCTCTGACGCTCTATCTCTTTAACACTTCTTCTTAAAATCCCAGGCTCCTTGTACCAAGCAGTTCAACCACCAACTTTAATAGTCAGAATCTTTCCTGTTCCTCTCATTGTTTACATTTCTTTGGTGTATATTTTTTATTGATTTTTCCATATAAAAAATTGTTTTCTACCTCTAGACTATAAGATCATTGAGGGTGGGAAATATTTGTGCTTGATTGCATGTGTGTTTTTGTGGAGGCAGTGGAAGGCTATTCTCAGAGATAAGCACAATACCTGGTACAGAGTCCACATTAATATATGCTTGTTGAATTGAATGAATTTCATGGATAAAATTGAACACATGAAAACTATTGGGTAGGAAAACATGACAATAATAAAGATCAAAAATTTCTACTAAATACTTAATGAATCTTAATAGATGAACTCATTTAAAACTGGCAGTGATCTTATAGATCATCTAGTGCAATTCCTTCATTTATAAGTGATTTGACCAAAGCCTACATGGCTGTCCCAGGATTTGAACCATACTACTCTGGTTCCAGATTCTTCCCTCATTAAGGAAGCCTGGTGTGGGGAAAACACCGGAGAGCTCTAAGTTTAGAGAGCTGGGTTCCAGTCCTGCTACTTCCACTAACTTACTCGGGAACTTTAGACAAATTACCTTCCCAACCGGGGCCTCAGTCATACCACCTGCAGGCTAAGAGAGCAAGGCCACATGACCTTTTTTTTAAATCAAAAATGTACAGTGGGATTTAGGCAATTACAGCTCTTTAAATCATGAAAAATAGAAATGAGGATTTTTACTTTTAAAATTACAATGTCATCTCTTGCAAAACCTGAAAAAGATTTTTTTTTTAAATTCAGAGTTCCAACTCCTTCATGAAATGCTTTGAAATACTTGGGTGAACAAATAGTAAGTATATGAAATAATGAAAATTGTTATTATGGCAACACATCAATTTAGGGTGACTGACTGACTCTGAATTCCAGTTCTGCTCTTTATTACATGTGCCACCTCAGGCTGCTCTCCTTCCATCTCAGAGTGTGAGTTTCCTCAGCCATAAAACTGGATGACCCATAAGGACTTTACCCATTCAATCTTAAGATCTAGGGAGCAGAGAAGTGGAATAGAGGATACAGAAAAGGATGTGAAATCTGGATGAAGTGAGTTCAAATTCTGTCTAAGAAACTTGCCACCTATATGACCCTGGACATGTCACTTAATGTCTCTCAGCCTCAGGTATCCTCATCTCTAAACCTATATCACAGGGCTGTTGTGAGGATCAATGAGATTTTAAAAGTACACTGCTTTGTGAATGTTCAAATTCTCAAAAAATGCTAGCTACCATTAGCATCAATTCAAACACAATAACATGAAATATTATGAAAAAGGCAGTTGCAAATCTATGATTTTGAACCCTGCACCTTCTCATACCTTGAAGACAAGAATACTATTATTCATTCACGTGGCACTCATATTGGAAGAATCTTGTAGAACTTGTCATTATTATTCTAATAGCTGAGACCTACCTGGGTCCTTTAAGATGGTGACAAAAGTCCAAGAGAGGGGACTTATTGCGTACCTTCACCTGAGGCTGTCCTCTATTAGATGCTTAATCAAAAGAGAAGAGTATTTGCAGACACTGTGCCTGGCATCTAGTGTTACAAACTCAGAGTTTTCCACATTGTGGTCTGTTCTCCTCAGTCATTGCTGCTCCTTTGATTTGCTGACAGGAAGGTCATTAGATGAACTAAAGCAATGTTTCTGATCTTACTCATAAATGAAGGATGAAAACAACCAAACTTCAGGCTCGTCCAATGGACATGGGTCCAAATTGAGACATAAAAGGCTTTCTGTGGCTTCTGGTCACAAACTTGCAGTAGGGTTTTACAAGAGTGGGCATAATTCTGCTCTTAAGGGACAATGGATCCTCTGAGGACTCCCAGAGCTACTTAGTGTGCACCTCTGAAAAACACGTAATGGCATACCCAGGTCTGTGGGGACCCAATCACAATTACTAAGGGAAGTCATGGGTGTATTCAGATGTTACTGTCAGGATTTCTCCACAGAGAACATGGCTGTTTTCAGGAGACACAAGAAAGGAGGGCCATGAACTCACTAGACCTAGACCAAAAGGAGCCATGACATGGACAACAGGAAAAAAGGCAGGGGATGAGACAGTGCTTCTTGCTTCATTGGAAAAAAATGTCTGATGGGGGGGAGGGATGAGATATATACAGACTTGGGGGATTGATAGGTAATGACAAAGATGCAGGAAAAAAGAAAATAAATAAGAAAGAACCAGTGAATCATTTTAAACATGCACAGAAAACAGCAGACAGAATTTCAAAAGGTGGCGTGACACCAAAAAGTAGTAGTTTTATATAGATTAAATATAATAGACTTAAAATGGTACATAATGAAAATTAACAGCTTCATGGGCAATTTTCTTTTTTTCTTCATGTTTAAATATTCAATTTCAGAATCAGATACACTCAGATATGGAAGGGACCTCAAAGTACATTGAGTCTGGTCCACACTTGAAACAAGAATTCTTTTTGCAGTGTAGTGGAGATAATGGAGACAGAATCAGTTGTCAGCTACTAATCTAATCATAATGTGGTGAGAAGGCATTGCCAAAACAAAACAAAAAAAGGTTCAAGAGGATATTAACAATGATTCCTGTAGCATTAAAGTGTTATTGTTCATAAGTCACTTAATGGAAAGATTAGTTTACATGCATCAAATCATATAATGAGCAAGTGAGATAGTCACGTGGGCAGTTTCCAGAACTTAATATCCTTCCCCTTTCTACTATGAGAACAAACCTAAAGGTTCCTCAAAAAGATGAATTGAAAGTTTTTGAACTTCAGAAACTCTAATTCACTGAAGGCTGGAGTCATGATTAGGAAGTTTCAAGGATGCTTCTAAGGTCAGGAAAGAAAGGGAGGATGCACTCCAATATCCTATGGAGGTTAAACAGGCTGTGGGTCTTGGAGAATGTTTGCACTAGGAAAATATAAATGTGGAGGAAACAATATCTTAGGTGTGCTCCTTAATTAAAAGAATAAGCCTAATGATGACTTTGTCCCCCCATAAATTTTAAAGAAACAATATTGACCTCTTCATTCCTCATGCTATAGATGAGAGAACTCAACATTGGGATGACCATGATGTGGAATACTGA